TTATTTCCATGGGGCCAGTTCTGGCCTGAAGAATTTTCCATATGATCTTCCTCTGAGTATAGTCTTTTCTAAGAGAAAGAGCTAGGGCAGGTGGGACCAAACTTATAAGCTGCTTGGGTACCAAAATATCCCACTGTGTCTCCAGGAAGTATGAAACTGCAGGACCAAAGGTTATCACAAAAACAACACATGATTTATCCAGTCCAGTTCCCTGAAAATTCAGGACCTTTGCCTAGTGAGTGTTTTGCCAGTTCCTCTATGCAGTTCTAGTACAACTCCAGTTGAAGGGTTTCCAGGGAGTACAGCAGAAGCTGCAGTGATGGTAAGTAGAAGACTACACTAATGAGAAAAGGAGCACTAATTCCTACTGAGATAGGCATAGTTTCTGGACAAAAGTATGGTGTTGATAACAGACACTTTCTAGTTCTATCAAATCCAGCGCCCAGATTTTTAATGAAAGCCTGATTGTACAGAGACCATGCAGCTAGCATTATTCGTTTTATATTCTTTTTCCAGTTATTACAAAGCTCAGCTTACATTTGTTAACGTTGGCACGGAGGCTATATACTCAATACCCAAACAAGAGCCCCTACCTATTTTAGTAATATAAGCTTTGATTATTAAAGAGAGGGAAATATTAAACATGTTTCTTTAAAAACAATACAGAATCACAGAATCATTTAGGTTGGAAGGGACCTCTGGAGATCATCTAGTCCAACCTCCCTGCTCAAGCAGGGTCCCCTAGAGCATATTGCCCAGGATCACATCCAGACGGGTTTTGAATATCTCCAGGGAAGGAGACTCCACTACCTCTCTGGGCAACCTGTTCCAATGCTCCGTCACCCTCACAGTGAAGAAGTTTTTTCTCAGGTTCAGATGGAACTTCCTGTGGTTCAGTTTCTGCCCATTGCCTCTTGTCCTGTTGCTGGGCACCACGGAGAAGAGACTGGCCTCATCCTCTTGACACTCCCCCTTCAGATACTTGTACACGTTGATGAGATCCCCTCTCAATCTTCTCTTCTCCAGGCTAAACAGGCCCAGCTCTCGCAGCCTTTCTTCAGAGGAGAGGTGCTCCAGCCCTCTCATCATCTTTGCAGCCCTCCGCTGGACTCTCTCCAGGAGTGCCATGTCTCTCTTGTCCTGGGGAGCTCAGAACTGGACCCAGTACTCCAGGTGAGGCCTCACCAGGGCTGAGCAGAGGGGCAGGATCACCTCCCTCCACCTGCTGGCAACACTCTGCCTAACGCACCCCAGGAGACCATTGGCCTTCTTGGCCACAAGGGCACACTGCTGCCTCATGCTTCACTTGTTGTCCACCAGCACTCCCAGGTCCTTCTCCGCAGAGCTACTTTCCAACAGGTCAACCCCCAGCCTG